GTTTATTAATAAAGTACTAGATCGTGCTAAACTTATAATTTATTAGATTTAGTATAAATTATAACTTCTATTTAATTTTAGTGTTGGTTCACATGAAATTTGTATTTATATGTATAGAAAACCACATAATATATAAAGTAAAGAATCATATAATACAAACATTACTTATTTAAAGATATATATGTATGTATTATATTATGTTAACATATTATTCAAATAACACATCCTTTATTATGTTAATAGTTATTTTAGATTTAATAAGAATTTATAAAATATCTTTTATTATGTTAATATTTATTTTAGATTTAGTAAGAATTTATAGAAAATTAGTAATATTTATTCAGAAAAATATATGATTATAAAAAAGATTATAGTCAGACAAAGATAATTTCTCATTTAACATCAAACAAAATAGGAGACATATACCAAACATATTTTAGCCATATAAGTTTTGAGTGTTAGAAAATATTTATTTATGGAGAATAAAAAATTAAAAAATAAAAGATTTAATATAATATTAAATTATTAGTGTTTAAAATAGCAAAATTGACGTTAATACCATATTATTTAGTAAAAATGAAATTTCTCTATTGCTTATTTTTAGGTTCACAAAAAGCTCTTGTATACACATGTATATATTATTTTATTTATATATATATATATATTAATTCATGTAGAAAATAATACATACGAGAAATAACCATAAAATATGTATTTTTTATTTAGAAACGTTTATATCATTTTTACCTCAGCATGTATCTCTTATTATATTAACATAACGCCGTTATATAAACCAGATAAGAAATATATCAAACACAGACTTTACTGCCGTTTTACTCTGTCCTTAAATAAGCTCGAAAAAAGCTACCAAACGTGTGCCATACCTTTCGTAGACTTCTCGCACGTGTTCTTCTCCGATTTTTGTACTTTCTCGCTTCACTTACCCTTCTCCGGTTTCACAGTCTTTTCATTTCTCGCTCTTCGTCTCCCTTTCTCTCTCGTCCCTGCACGCTTTCTCTTCCATTTTGATCCTAAATCGGTACGTTTCTCTCATCTCTCGACAATTTATATTTACTTTTTTTATTTACTTTTTATGTTCGTGATCATCTTTTCTGGTTCCCCGGAAAACGACGAGAACGAAAGAGAATCAGATTACAATTTTAGATTTTTGTTAACATTCAGTGTCAGGGTACGAATTGAAGGGAAAATTGAGTTTTGTACTTGATTCAATTACAATTGTAGTTTGCATTTTTGTTAGATTTGCCAGGGAAAGAGGATTTTCAATTGTGTCGCACTTCTCTTTCTTTAGAACAGCTGCTTGTTTGGTCAAGTGAAAAATGGAAGAAAGTAAAGTTTTTTCCTTCTCGGTTTGGATTCAGTGCTGCCATACATAGAGGGGTCGCTTTTATTTAATGGGTCACGAACAATGTTGACTTTTTATCATTTCTTTTGTTTTTCTGAAATAATTTTCGTTTCTACTTTTGTTATTAAAAAATTTGAAATTTTAATTTTCTTCAAGTATAAACTAATAGCAGACTGAATTAAGTTTAGCGAAGATTACTTAAATGGAATTTGGAAGTGGTTTTTATGGTTTTCTTGTTTGGTGCATGCCTAAGTTTGTACATTTGTACAGGAGTGACATTCTTTTTTAATGCTGGAAGGCAGGCTTATATTTAAGCTTGTTTGACAGCATTTGTTTTGCAGGTTGTGTTAGATTTTAATTAGTAAGATCGTGTTTCTGTTGCAGTGAGCAGCTGATTAGGTTCAAGGAGTCACAAGGTTCAAGAAAGGTATGCCCTATATTTCATTAGACGTGTATGGTTTTGTGGATGCATGAAGTTCTATCATTTGATAAGTTTATATGTTTTACCATATTTTGTAAGCTGGAGTTTGCTTTTCCACTGATATTATGGCTGCAGAATCTATTATCCTCACTGATTTCCTTTTTGTTGCATCTAATGTTTTGTCGATAGAATGCAAATCAAAAAGAAAGTTAAAGAAAAAATTTTGAACAGGTGGAAGCCATATAATCCATGGATATGAAAGAGAAATGAATTTTAGGGACGTACTTCTATGGATGGCTTGAATAGGTAGTTACTTACATGTTCATTTGTCCCAGAGCCTTTCTGTTGAAGGAATGTTTTTGAGAACTTATCTAGCAGGATGGTGTAAGACAAGGGCATATGTATCATGCAAAATCTCTAAAAGAAATTATTGTTTCTTTTTTAGGATCATTTGTCATAATGATATTTTCTTAATAGCAATACAATTGGATGCAGTCTGAATATGTTATTGTCGGTTAGTTGTTATATAGTAAAACACATAACTCTCTATCCTAAGCACCTCAAGTTTATTGTATTTTCCTAATTTATGCTGTCCAATGACTAAATCTAAATACTGAGAATCTTCAATTGTTAGTTTGGGAGCATACTGCTCCATTCTTCATGCATATAGGACGCACTTGTAAGGCCCAATGGTGGAGAGTGCTGTAGTTTTTTGTTTAATATTTTATTTTCTTTAGCAGAACAACATATCTAGTGTGGTCTAGAATGACATTGTATCCTTCTGTTACATTTTATTGACTATTATCACACTAGAGTTGGTATTTGGTAAGTCTATTGGGTTCTTATTTTAAGCAAGAGGAGCAGATCATGTCTTCGTTTTCGCTTACTTATACTTACCTACTGATTTTTCGTAGAAATTTCATTTGTAATCATATAGTACTTGTTTTAAGTTAGAGGATTTAAATGTACAAGCCCCTATCTACTGTTGAAGGTAAAAGATTAACGTTTTTCTAGAATAAAAAGGAGTAATACATTAACAAAGCACCAAGAAGGTGCAACCTACATGTACTAGGACTTTATGAATCTATCAAAATGTCAAAGATCCCTTAGATTTTCAAAAGAATTAAGAGGATGAACCTACTTCTTCTTCTATCTAAAAAGAATTTAGAGTATGACCTTGATCGAAAAGCTCAGGATTTAGAATCATAAGTTTTAGATCGGTTAAAATCACCCATAAGGTAGCCAAAGAGATAAGAGATAAGATCTTATAACACATATCATCATGGATGCCTCTCCAAGCCCATATCTCCTCGACAGAACCAACCATCATGAAACTCACTCCCAAAAGTCCATACCCCATGTTCCAAAGACAAAAGAAGAAAGGACACTAAAGAAGAAGATGATTGCCAGACTTAATTGCTTCATGATAATCTTCCTCCTTTTACTTTTTTTTTAGATAAATAGAATATGTATTAAGTATGTGGTACCAAAAGAGTGCTTCTCATGTACAAAATATTTGCATTCAGTTAAAACATCAATGGCCTTCCCAAAATCCTCCCACTCATATATGTCATGACCCAGAATTAAAGACCCAAAAACATGTATCCACTTATATTTAATTTTGACCATATCTCCCTCACACCTTTCAAATGCTGTATTGTTTCTCTCTTTCCACACCACAAAAAAAATAGTTAAAAGGAATAATCTTTACAATCTTCCTCCTTTTACTAAGGTTACCAAGGTTAAAGTGCTTCCCTCAGTCACTTCCCAGATAAAAAATTTAACCAAAAACACACTTTTCAAATTTAGCTTCTAAACTGGCTCATCTTGAGCCTCATGGGAAAAGAAATGAAGGAAATTAGTGTATTCGTTCACCTGCCAATCATTAAGGTACCTTATCAGGTCGACAACCCAAATGCCATTGTGGGATACACAAGAGAAGGACTTCACCACTGTGGTCTCCTTTTTTTTGAAATAAAAGTATGAAGTTGTATTGAAATAAAGATGCCAAGGGGGCACCATCCATTTATAAAAAAATTACAAATCAATTAAACAATTGAGTATAAAGTCAAGATCATCAAAGCATTCGATGTTATGTTCTAAAATAGTGGACCCGAAATAATGGAACCAGTTGTCAGTGATGAATCTGAAATCGACTTCTTTTTCTTCGAAAGTATGATTGTTTCTTTCCTTATAAATGACGCAAAATGAGAGGGACGAGTGTAAAAGTTTTCTTGTGACAAATTAATCCTTTCCGTGCAAGCAGCTCATCCAAAATTGATTTATGTTTGACCCAAGATAGTCCCATGAGGCCAAGAATAGTAGATCAGAGGCTGTGAGAGAATATTAGCTGAAAATTTTGTCTATTCTTGTGGAATATTGTCGACTAAAATCTTATACAGGAACTTAACTGAAACAATGAGTTTGTCATTGTTGTCAGTTAGGTAAATGTGAGATAAAGTTTGGAGCAAATGTTCATATTCCTCAATTTCCCAATCTTGCAAGTTTTTAGACAGTATCATCTGTTATTGATTCAGTTCGACAGCATCTTTTACTATCATGTTTTTGTATCTAGCAATCGCATAAATCATTGAAAATCTTGATTGTAATGCTTCTCTGTTATGCCAAATATTTTCCAGAAATGAATTTTGGTGTCATTACCGATGCTCCACCTAGAATTATGAAGAACAAGGTTATTTATATTCTAAATACCTCTCCATAGGCTAGAACCATAATTGTTGTTTTTTATTTTAGAGTTATCATTGCAGTCACCATTGAACCATTTACTCATAATGATTGATTTTCAAAGGCTATTGTTGTCATTCCAGAATCTCCATACTACTGTGGCCTCCTTACAGCAAGCTAAAGAAAAAAATATAAGAAAACACTGCTCAAAAATCTCATCCTCATTACGTTCAGCCATCCAAAGCCTTACCATTTGTCCTGACTTAGTCGTCTATGTAATGTAATTAAGAAACCCATCCGTGACCATGTTGATTTTTTTTTTCCCAGAGCCCCTTGCCATAAGTAACTGTAGACAACTTGGTTCTCCACCCCAAAGTGCCAATCCAAATTTTGCTTTTTTTTTTTAAATACAAATATGAAGTATGTATTAATATAGAACCAAAAGGGGCACCACCAATGTACATAGACTTTACAGTAGTGTTAGCGTATTTATGATATTCCCAAAATTATCATTACTAATAATGTCATGACCTAAAAAATAGATCTAAAATAATGAATCCACCTATTACTTATTTTGTATATACTACTCTCAACACCCTCAAAGGTTCTAGAATTCATTTTTTTTTCCAAATAATCCAAAAAACAGTCAGTGGAATTAGGTTAGCAATATTGCCGTTTGCATATAAACTATCCCAAGCCCAAATTTTGCTTTAATTACTCTCCAGCAGAAATTGCTACGCTCATTCATAAATCTCCATAGCCACTTATTAAGAATATATATGTATATTTTTTAGATTAATCATCAATATGATCCCTAAACCACTCTTCTGAAATGGAAGCTTAATCATGTTCAAAACCACAAGTGGAATCTCCTTTTCTCATCCTAGTCATCCCGGTAGAAACACCACTGAGTGGACTCTTGCTTCTTTTTCACACTGGTAGGAATAGAGAACAACGTTGGAAAGTAGATAAGTAAATCAGAAAGAGTTCTCCTTATAAGTGTTAGCTACCCTCTTTCAAATGAAAATCCCTCTTTCACCTCCCCCAGCAACCTTAGTCCTTTATAGAAAATCCACCACTTAAATTAGCAATTCGCATCTAGGGATTATCCTCCCCTAGCAAAGATGTCTTGGCACTCCTCCACCACTAAGGTTTGAGATTGAAATATTTAATGCTAATAGGCTTTTATTGGTGGAAGTTGGGTCCACAGCATCTGTTATTAACCTGCCTGTAAATAGTATCTTTCTTAGGCTTTCTACTACTCCTGCACTTCTTTGGTGCATCCCACCTTTATTCTGTTTGTAGATGGCTTCTGCCTCTCTGTTCGTGCCTTAACATTTTATTACTTGTCGAACATAGGTTTTTTTTCCCCACTTGCCTGACTGTCAAATTCTTAGAACAGATCATATGTAGTTGTCACTTGAGAAGCTTCTCGATAGTGCATGATTGAAGGAATGGTGAAAAAATGTAATTGGTCGTTTAGTTAACTAACAGTAATTATTTTTTATAAATATAAAGATTTGTTTGAATGGTAGCTTAATCCAACATCAGGGTTATGTTCCATAAGATGGATAGAAAGAAATGAAGGACATGAACCTATTAGTGTGCATACTGTTAATTAGTGAAGTTTCTCTTTGTATTATCCTCCTATTTGCAAAATATTACCTAGGCATTGGCACAAGAAGTTTACAATGTAAACTGAATTTTATATGCAAGTGTTCCATTTCCTCCTGTAGACTTAACAATGTGTAGCTCTATTCATGATAGATGCATGTCAGATGATTGATCATTTGATTCACGATGTTTTTG